ATTAAAACGAATTAAAGAGATTAATAAGAAAAGATCAGCTAGAAATATTGAAACATACGACTTTTCAACAAGTATACCGCACGACTTGCTAATTGAAAGTATGAAATGGATAGCTAAGAAAAGTATCTTGTCAAATGACACAGTGATACTAACCAATGGATGGTTTACTACCTTCGAAAGTAACATCAATACTTAAAACCACAATAAGCACAAATATTATACAATAATTAATAGAGAAACCTTCGGTCACCTAAGCAAAAATAGTTGAACTCGAATCGAGCGGTTGGAACTAGATAACACGGTTTACGACCCGGTTAAGCTAGATCCACCTCAAAAAGTTTAACCTAGGATCGGGCGGTTCCAACCCCTTTTGGATGGTTGGGGAGGTTATAAGCTAGGTTAACCGCTCGCTTAACCGACCGATCGAGCTAGCTCTACCTGATCTAGGTCCAACCACCCACTTAACCGACCGGTTAAGCTAGCTTCTCGTATCAAATAGATTAAACACAGGGAGGTTATTAGCTAGATTCAGAACGGTGAATTTAGTTTTCTGGTTTACTACTTTCACTTAACTTAATATAAGGAGAAACGCAATAGTGTGACATATCTTATATTTTATTGATTTTTTTGTCACACTATTTCGTTCCTTTTTTCTGTGCTTTATTCTGGAGAATACAAGCGGAAGAATATTGCTCGTTTTCTGTTCTGTTTCTTCTCAGTAGTAATTTTTTTATTCGTATGTTTTTTGTGGTCGGTTTTTTTTCCGCTAATGCGCCACCGCATTAATCGTTGAAATATAAGCAAACATTAGAATGTTGATAAGACTGTTTCGCAGGATAAGACTATTTCGTTTCTCCTTATATTAAGTGAAGTGGCACCCTGTTCAACGAGAAATGGGTTGTTTGCATGATACTAATATATGCAAACAATAATTCATATATGCAGTACTAATGCATGCAACAACCCATTTCCAGTTGAACAGGGTGACATTACACTTGATATACGGAGAAACGAATATTAAATCAGGTGTCACACAGTTCAACGAGAAAGAGGTTGGTTGCATGCATTAGTACTGCATAATTTTTACTTTTTGTAGGTGATGAAAGGGTGTTATCCGTTGCGTGGCTAAATAGTGGTTTAAGTACAAAGGAGGTCAGAAACAGACTACAGCAAAAGCTTGAGTTACTAATACAATTTTTTAATGAAGACAATATGTGTTCAGACTATATTTATTCACATCACAACAGAGACATTTTTTTAATCGTATCAGGAGACAACCTTCAAAATTTTATTTCAGTTGTGTACACATTGCCACAACTACGTTCAATCTATATATGTTGTTCAGATGACAATTTGCAATTTTTAAAGTCATGGTCTGAGTCTTAGAACAAAGTGCAAGGTGTATTCAGTACAGAAGAGCGTTTGTTATTTAAATTAGCCATTGATATATCATTGTGTTGGACAGAAAAAGGCGATGATCATTATCGAACTGGTAACATTTCATGATTTATTCATGTGCTAACTCGACACTCCTCCGTAACATATTTTTAAAAGAATCTTTTACGAAAATTTGACAAAACTCGAAGAAGGAAGGAAAAACCTTCCTTTACATCTTTCTCAGAAATTCCTAAGAAATAGGATCAGAACTTCGTTTTAGCCTATTTCTTTCTCCATCACGTTCTATGTGTGTGTGATATTTGAACGAGTCATAGGCGATATCCTTATATAACATCGACAAAAAGTTCGTTGTACTTAAAACAGTCTTTATTCTTTCTCGTTCTCTTTTCTCTCCTTCTAATACGGAGAAATAAGAACATTTGTTCATACGTAGTGAGAAACATGTGACACTGACGAAAATATAGATTTTTCAAACTCTCGAGTATTTCATCACCAAAATGCGCTATATTTTTGAGTTCGTCGTTAGCTACATAACTTAGATTGTCATGTGACTAACCTCCGCCACCCGATGACTTTTCCTGGCCCGAGGACGATACGAAAAATCGTACCCAGTACCCTCCGATAACACAATAATCCCGGGTTCTGGTCGAGGCGTCCATTTCATGATTTATTCATTTTCTTTTACATTACTTTCATTTTCTCTTTTACATGTCTCTTCTTTTTTGTCATCGTCATCATTATTATCTTCACATTCTTCTAATTCAATTCCAACTGAGATTGATGATGTTGGATCTTCAAGATAATTTTTTTTTTTTAATAATCTTAAATACCGTATGGTAGAATTAAAACTTCGTTTTTCTCTGATCTCATGGACAAATGTTGAATATTTAAACATGTTGACTTTTGTTTTACTAAATATTGAAAGGGTCGGACCGTCAGAAATACCACCGGATTGCATCGGATTTACGGCCACTTTTTCTGGCCGTTAAAAGTTAATATTTAGCCTAAATATCGTTCTTCTTGTTTCCTGTTTATTACTCTACAATCTAAGAAGGTTTAATAGTACCTTTTGTGAGGTTCCAAATTCATAAAGCGTACAAGAACTTACACTCATAATTTGAAATACGACAACTCCTTTTAACACTCTCAGAGAGTGACAATAGCCATTTCGTTTTTTTAATAGATTATGAAAGAGGACATCAAAATCTATATCCTAGAGTAAAACCGAGCACAGTATGTTGAATGAAAAACGTTTTTGGGGATTTCAACAACTATACTTGTTCTTTTATAAAACCAGGTCAACTAATAGAGAAATGTGCGTATTTGCATGATGAAACAAAATAACAGTTTTGTATTTTTTCGTTTTCCAACCTTGTTCGAATCTTCCTAACATTGTTTTCTCTATATGTCTAGTTTAACTTCTCTGCATAATAACTATCCTACAAAAAATCTTTTATCGGCACTGGTTATGCATGGGTGCGCCCCGGTGCCGATAAATTTTTTTTCTGGGCATCGGTGCCTGAAAGAATGTAGAAATCTCGCACCGGTGCGCATCAGTGCCGAAGTTTTGTTTTCAATCACCATTTTGTTTTGTCAATTTCTGTCTATTGGCGCTACAGTCTGCTTCTTTCTTTTTTTTCTTACAACCTACTTTCTATTTCGAATGTCTTTCTGACTTCATCTTTTCTTTCTCATAAGAGAAGTGCCGAGGCAATGCCGCATAGTTTTGGCATGTCGATGTGGTACTGATCAGTGCCGCACTCTAATACAAAATTCAGCATAAACAACCATAATAAAGAACTAATTAAATTGATTAAATAAATTATCAGTGCGGCACCCATCCGGCACTGATTTTTAACAGTGCAGCACTCTTTCAGCAGAAATATATCGGCACTTGCTGGGCACGGGTGCGCATCGGTGCCATCCAGTGCCAGTGACCGATGGCATGCCATGCGCACCGATGCGCACTGATTTTTACCAGTGTCGCACTGGAATTTTTTTTATAGGGTGATGTTCAACCGATAAATAGCGAGAAAACAAATTCGAAAAGAAATGGAGTACACTGCCAATTCAAACTGCAGCAGAAATTTTCTTGTTTAAAAAGAGGGAAAAATAATCTCTGGCAAAGATGAAACATACCAAAACACGATATACACATGGCCCTTGAAAAAAGCACAAATACTATAACTAGAAACTCAATTGTGATATTTTTATTTGACAGAAGAGTCTTTTGATTGTTCGATATGAAACAATTCTTTCATAAAACACGGGAAAAAAATTCATCGGGATAAAAGTTTAATCACGATACTTTAGCTTCTTGTCGAGATGACTCTTTTATCACGATAATAGTCGATAAAAATCTACTGGAGTTTATCGCTATAGTTTTGCTTTCAAAGATGAAGATCACACAGATAACGATTATAATTTACCAAGATAAAGTCTGATAAATATTTATCACGGTTTATTGTTTTACAGGTATTCACAACGCTAAATGGCTTGTATACCGCGATAGTTTCGTCTATTGCGTTATATCGAGGGACTGCGATAAACTGCAATAACGTTTATTTCGCGACAGAGCTGCTCATTATCGCGATATTTCAGTACATTTAGCATAATATCTTGATATATCGCAAATTTTCAACCAAAATTACCCTCATGGGTACGATGTTCGTCGAAAAGTGCCATAGAAAGTATTATACAGATCGAAAATTCGGGATTAAAGTAAAAGTAGAAACTTAATTTTTATGCAAAAAATTTCAAACTGCTTCTATTGCTCTTGTTCTAAGATGGCGAAAATCATGCAAATACGTCGTTTTGAAATGCGTTTTCCACCATCAAATTACACTCTAAACTTAAAACTAATATGTGTATCACATTCCTCGTCATTACCCTAGCGAACGATCTGATGACCTGGCCAGGCATATCAAGATCCTGGTCGTGAAACCAGTGACTAGTCTTATCACAAATCAGTGCCTGGTTTTTGGATTTTTTTTCCAGTTTCTGGTCAGAAATTTTGTCGGAAACTAGTCAGGAAATCAGTGACTGGTCCGAAAATCAGTAATCTGGTCAGGAAAAATAAATCAACTCGGTTAGCTATAGAGCGACATTTTGTTTATACGGTACACGTGTGTTCGTTCCTGTATCTATTCGCACGAACGAGTATCTTTTATATATGTCACATATACTTTTCTGACATTTTTCAATAGAGTTTTCTCTTTTAGCATATCTTAATCTTTTCTTT